TGACAGAGAGCCAGGATCTGATTTCACATTGTGTTGAACAGAAACCAGCAGCTTTTCTATACAATCAGCCCACAGGACAGTGCAAACCTATACCAGCAGACCTGGTCCACTGGACCATGTGAGCGGAGGATTTGATCCTTCGGGAGTTTCACTCAACCCTTAATTGACGGGTGAGCACTTTTAATGAACCCCACGGTGGAGCAACTCCCAGATTTATAATGTAATATATCCGTTTATTCTCCTTGATGCTAAAGAAAGAATGGTGGATGAGTGGGGAGGAGGAGGAGGAGGAGGAAGAGGAGGAGGAGGAGGAGAAGGAGAGAGATTAACATTTTTGTTTTGTTACAGCTGCAGAACCAGGACTTTTTTTTCTTCTCTTCATTCCTGTTAGTTCCACCCATCAACAGTAGGCTGCAGTATAAGTCTCCGTCCCCGTCTCCCACGGCACATCAGCACCAGTAGAGCTGCAGGTGAGGGGGTTGAACCTTTCACTCTGCCACTGTAGTGCAGCACACAGGCGTCTCCTGGAGGGAGGTGACAGACATCGGCACAGAGGGAGAAAGGGAAGACGGGTGAGGCAGAGCTCCTTCACTTCAACCACAGCTGACACAGTTCCTGCGTCTGAGGTGAGTGGACGCCACAGAACTTATGGTACTGTAGGGTTTCCTGAAGGCAGCAGCGAGGTCAGAGACGGGGCCCGGGACAAAAACTGGACGTCCAACATTGACAGAGACAGAGACTGAGACTGAGACTGAGACTGAGACTGAGACTGAGACTGAGACTGAGACTGAGACTGAGACTGAGACTGAGACTGAGACTGAGACAAGGTCAGTGTTTGTTTTTATGAAGAAGTCAGACTCCCACTGTCTGGATGAGTGGTTTGTTTTTTAATTTATCTCAATGTAAAATTCAAGTTTTTGGATTTTTAAAAAATACATTTTCTCTAATTTGTCTGTGTAGAATATACTATATAATAATATAATATATATATACTATATTTATTTATATAAATACATATATTTATATATATACATATATTTATATAGCTATATATTTATATACATATATCTATATAAATACATATATTTATACGGATACATATATTTATATAGATAAATATTAATCTACATACATATATTTATATAGATACATATATTTATATAAATACAAATATTAATCTCCATACATATATTTATATAGATACAAATATTTAAATAAATACATATATTTATATAGATAAATATTAATATTTATCTACAAATACACATATTTATATAAATACAAATATTAATCTACATACATATATTTATATAGATGCATATATTTAAATAAATACATATATTTATATAGATAAATATTAATATTTATCTACAAATACACATATTTATATAAATACAAATATTAATCTACATACATATATTTATATAGATGCATATATTTAAATAAATACATATATTTATATAGATAAATATTAATATTTATCTACAAATACACATATTTATATAAATACAAATATTAATCTACATACATATATTTATATAGATGCATATATTTAAATAAATACATATATTTATATAGATAAATATTAATATTTATCTACAAATACACATATTTATATAAATACAAATATTAATCTACATACATATATTTATATAGATGTATATATTTAAATAAATACATATATTTATATAGATAAATATTAATATAGATACATATATTAATCTAAATACATATATTTATATAGATACATTTTCTATATAAATAACGTTATGTGTTATGTTATGTCTTTCCTAAAACTGCTGGATGGTGACTCTTGTTAGCATCGAGTCCTCGGAGCTGCTGTCGTATTGTTGTGTGTTGTACTGATGGTCAGAGACGGAGGAGAAGGATTGTTGCCACGGAATATCCTTTTTAGGAAAACGGTGCTGAGAGCAGAAGGAGCAGAAGCTGGAGAGGTTTCTGTTGTCACTCAGTTTCCACGGCGTTGATCCCTGAGGAGGTGATGCTAAGATCCAGGGCAGAGAGGAAAAACAACAAGCCACTTAGTGTCTCCCCCCAGAGACCGGTCTAGGAACAAACACTTTTTAATTGTGTGTGTTGATATTTCATTGTGTGTGTGTTTGTGTGTGTGTGTGAGGAGACACCAATCATTGAACCAATGACGTCCTTCAAAACAGGATCATATTTTAAAATAATTTGTCCTCCTGTCAGAGATAAAAAAAATGGACAAAAAAAATCAGAAAGAAAGAGAAATAGACAAAGACCATAGAACATCCTGAGACGGCCACTTGGTGGAACAATGAGCAGAACAATTAGAGGATTGTGTGACGAGGCGACCGCAGCTCCCGGTTCAAAAGAAGTCCAGGTGCAGGACAGGGATGAGCATCAGCTGCAGCCAACCACTGTTTGACTGCTGTTGACCTTAGGTGGTGCTGTTGTCACCGATCGGTCATTCTGTCTGCACAGAACGTTCCGGAGGTTGATTTCTGAGTTTCGATTGTTTGCTTCAACTCTCTCTCTCTCTCTCTCTTTGTCTCTCTCTCTCTGTGGTTGGATTTTCAGGCGTGACAAAGAGCCGTCCTCTCCTCCGCCACCGTGACCATGGTCTGCTCCAACCTTCTGAAAGACACAGGTACCCTTCTGTTTGTTATGGGTTTTACACCGATGCCCTTCCTGATGTAAGTCAACCTAGAACTGGATGTAGGTGGAAACGAACCCACGACCTCCTGGCAGGAAGAGCAGGAATCCTGCTACGGCCCTGCTGGAGCCTCCGACAGTGAAATGTGTAAAAAAAACAGCAGATCTGCTGCACCGGGCCCACTGGGAATCGAACCCAGGACTATCTACTACTCTCTGTTTCTACGGCAGGCGTGCTAACCGCTACGCTATGGAACCACTGTTAGCCTTTTCTTTTTCAAACGCTTGTCTATTTTAAACACTGCTCCTAAAATGCTACATTCACAGGCATCATGCGCCTCCTACTGGTGGGACTGCTGATGGGGTCTGTGTCAGGTCAGACTACTACCATTGGAGCCTCCAGCAACTCCACCACTGACATGGTCAACAACTCTACGGACTTCAACGTGTCTTCTACAGCGGCCCCCACATACCAGTCCTCCACCCCCGGAGGTACAGCAACAAACCAACATCCGAGTCGTTTGGCCTGGCCTTCACAGGGGTCACGGTCACGGTCACGTTCACGTCTCAATCGATGATACTGTTTCAGGAAGTACTTCTTCTTTCTTCTTCTCAGGTTGGAACAGTTCAACCACCTTCACTACTGGGATGACAAACACCACAGGTAGGTGCGGTTCGAGTCCCCCGGCAGTCTGCACCGTGGCAGCATCAATGTCTTTCCTTATCCACGTCTTTCTTTTTTGCCACAGGTGACGGGTCAATGACGTACGATAACGTGAGTACGTCAGAGTGTTCTGTGAAGTATTTGTGATCGGTTCTTTGTCACGTGAAATTGTCATTTTCTGGCGCATTAGTCGACTTATAGAAATTAGACGAAAACAACTGTCCAATCAGAGCGTAGTTCAAACGCAAATCCAAATTTAAAACAGTTCCATTGACTCAGTGGGAACTAGAGACTAGATATACAGTAATACACACTTCTACCTGTGAGTATTTGGAGTCTGTAGTATTTCATGTTTCTTCTCTGCCCCCAGATCTACTGCCCCTCCTTTTCGTGTGTTTACTCCGAATGTTACGCCACGTACATGAGTCAGAACGACACGACGTGCCCGGCTAACTGTTTCTGTCAGGTACGAGGGTGGACGACACTGAACGCTGAATCGGTTCCCGCAGCCGGAACATTCTTTACAAGGCTGAGTCAGAAAGTTCTCAGACAGATTTCAGACAGGTTAATGACATCATGTCTCTGTCCAGTGTTGACCTGTGTGACCTTTGATTGGATCAGATCTTAATTGACCCCTTCAAAAAAAAGTGTTTTCAAATCGGAGCAAAGGTCACATTTTTAACCAAACTTAAATGGAAATTTGTTCAAATGACTGAAGGTTATTGAAAAAAACTGAAGGAAGTGGAGTTCAGTCCTTAGACCAGACAGAGAAGCAGGTTATGACCTGGTGTCAAAGGTCATCCTTCAGAATTATCTGATGGAAACAGCCCAGAAGAATAGAAGTAAATGTTTAGATTTGTCTTGGAACTTTTTGACTTTACATGGATGTCGTTTGTATTCATTGTTTATCACCTCCTCTGCTCACGGGTCTAACGTCCAGTTCGTTTGTTACGCCGCAGCTGTTGCGGCAGACGGAGGTCAACTACGTGGCCAACTGCAGCGCCTCCTGTGCCGTCGCCTGCAATGGAACTCTGACCAACTGCAGTACAAACTGCTGCAACACCACGGGCTGCCTCAACGACACGTTTGCATCCATGATGACAGCGCCAACCACAGGTAAAGCTCGGAGGACGCCTCCCTCACACTCCTGGTAGCTCTCAGTGCCAGCTCCCAGACCAGCAGAACCGTCGCACCGCCGCGCTCCGTTCTTACTCTCACAGTTTATCTTGTAATTTTCTGAACGTTGCTTTAGTATCCACGACCATGCAATCGACCACCAGAGTCACCACCACCACCACCACCAGACCTCCAACCACAACCGCCGACCAGGTGAGTCAATGAAAGTCATTCTGTCCCACCATCGTCCTGTGGGACACGTGACACCTACAGTACTGTTGTACCTCGATACCAACGACGTATTTACTACAATTATTGCTCAGATTGTAACTCTTTTGGAACCCTGAAATGTTCTCCGTTTGTGTTTGGTTTCTTTCTTTCTTTCTTTCCTTCCCAGAGCAAAATATGTCACGATTTCACCTGTAGTGGTGCGACCTGTTACAAAGAGCCCAGCAACCAAGGTTCAACCAGCAGCTGTTCAGGCTCAGAACTGACTCACTGTCAGGTAAAGAAGATGAAAAGACTACTGGTTACATATTAACATTACAAGTCGCACCGGGGTCACCTGGGTCACCGGGGTCACCTGGGTCAGCCAGTAGTCATGTGGTCAGGGTTCTAGCTCTTCTCCAGGTTCATGTTCCTCTCAGACCAAAGTAAAATCGTAATGAAAATATTCCCTTTAACCTCTTAAAGATACAAACTAATTTTCAAAAACACTCTGAGCTCCAGGTCGATGCGTTTATTATGGAATAAGTGTGTTGGGGGGGTAGGGAGGGGGGGGTCAGACCCAATTGCCCCAGCTGAATTGTAACTGCGCAGACCTGGGGCAGCGGTGGCTGGGTGGATTAGGAAGCAGACTTGAGTCCGGAAGGTTTCAGGTTTGAGTCCAGCCACTTTCCACTTTCACTTTTCTTCAGTGGTCAATCAGTTCTGTGCTCACTCCTTGGGATTGGGATGGGATTTGAACCTGTTGCTGCTCCAGTTTGTCAGAACTCAGTTTATGTTTGTTTGCATTTGAAGCTGAAACAGGGGGAACCGGGCCAGTGGTCAGCGAGCTGCTCCACCAACTGTTCTGACGTCACGTCATGTGGCAGCAGTACTAACAGTAACTGTCAGCTGGAGTGCTGTACAGCCACGAAGACCAGCTCCTGTCTAAAGCTGAACGGCACGTTGATCGTCCCCAACATGGCCACCAGGGGTCCTTCTCTTCACATGGAACTGATGGTGTCTTTAGTTGGTATGTTGACCCTCACTCTGTCTCTGTGAGCCGTGGCCCTGTGGCTGTAATGGGGTCATGGGGTCATGGGGTCATGGGGTCATGGGGTCACTCCTCCTTCCAGAGTAAGTTCTACTCCTTCATGTATTTCAGTTATAATCAAATATGTGGCTCTGCTGATATACCTGTGGAATCATGTGCCGCTTCACTTATAAAGTTTACTTTGTCTTTTTTTTTTTGTTATTACTTCATTTCTTTGAAAAGATAAAACAGTAGCAATGGGTTAATCATAAACTGCAGGGTTTTTTTTAAATGCAGTGTAAATGTTCTGTGTTCATACACATTAAAGCTCTTTTTATTTTTAGTCAAACATCCTTTGGTTGCAGTATCTGTATCTTTCGGGGGCCAACTGTACTGTCGTAGCCATGACCTCGCCGTTTGACACCCTCTCACTCACACACTTCAATTTCATACCAATTCATCATCATCATCATCATCAAGAATCACTGAGAGTCTTAATGCACTTTATAAATCTCGCCTGTTCAGAAGGTTTATGATGGATTCACAGTGAAATGTACAACAATGGAAACTCTGAATATTTTTTTCTTTTTTCTAATCCCCTGTGGACCATGAGTTGAAAGTAAAAAGTACTTCACAAAATATATTTTGGTATACTGGTCACAGGAATGATAGATGAAAGATAAAATCAGAATGATGTCAGTCTATATGATGATTCTGTTTCCAAGAATACAATAAATACTGTATGATGTCTATATGATGATTCTGTTTCCAAGAATACGATAAATACTGTATGATGTCATTATAACAATAATAATAATAATGATGCAATGATACATTTTTAAAATTCAATAAAGTGTGTTTGATTCAGAAAAAAAATGTCTTTTATTTTTTATAGTCTTATCAGCAACCTTTACTACATTCACCCACAAACTAAACAGCAACAATAGCTCAATTTTACAAATAGTAAAAATGAATAAATGCTTAAATATATGTTATAAATTATATTATATTATAAATATAACATTATATGTTATTGTTGATTTTTTCTTTTTTTCTTTTTACAGTTTTTGTAATTGTTGTTATTATTATTATTGGGCAATGTCTACCAATCACCGAGCAGTATTGCACACTCTGGATGTGACGTCACGAGCAGCATAGGAGTGGGGCTGGTGAATCAGAGCGTGGCAGCAGACTGGGTCGGGCTGGGCCAGCTGTGGGGCGGACAGGGGAAAACATGTGGATTTTTAAGGGAGTCCTGTCGGATTACCAGAACTTTGTGGAGCTTTAACTTCCGTCTGACACCGAGAGAGCGGCAGAGGGAGCGGCAGAGGGAGCGGTTCGATCGAACAGTTCGGTTCGAGCTCTAAAGTGTTTGGCGCACAGATCGACGCATCTTTGGCTTCGCCATGGATCAGTCCGGAGCAATTCAGGAAAGTTTGGAGAGAGAAGAAAAGAGGGTCTTAGTATCTTTTTTCTTTTCTTTTTTTTTTTGCCACGTATGTTACGCAAGATTACTGAACGCGGCTTAAACGTGACGATCTTTGCAGAGCGACATCTGAGTGAACACAGCGACAAAAGTCTGACGGCCGTTCTGACCTTCTCACTGTGAAGTCAGTTCAACGCGATTGAAAGTCCGTTTGTTTCGACTCAACTAGAAGTCCACTGGAACTTCAGAAACCACTGACATGGTCCAACCTCTGTAGTGAGACGTTTCTGCCACACGATGACGCCATTGTCTTCAAATACAGTTTAAATTTACCGCGTCATATACTGTACACCGGAGGTCCTCAATCACAGGGTACCATGACCTGGGTTATTTTTTACCAAATAGATATTATCTTATAATTAATTAATTGTCATATAAACAAGAGGAGACAATAATGTTTTTATGAAACTAATATGCTTAGATAAAGGTCCAATGATGAAGCAGGTGCGTGAATATGATGTGTATTTTAGATGTGAAGCAGCAGACGTTGTTTTGATAAAAAAAAAAACAGGAAGATCCTAGAAAATACTACTTCCCGTTAATGGTATAACACAAATACTGCAACAAAGTACACATGATGAGTATTACAGTGAAATCATGACGAGTACTCCGCTCTTTGCCTTAACTGTGAACATGCCATCCAATGTGAGGTCCTGTCTGACGAGGCTGCAGAGAGTAGACTGCTGGGATTGGTGCAGTCTTCCAGGGAACATGCGTGAGTTTTTGTGTCATTTTATTTATTTTTTTTGCTATAAAAAAAACTTTAGTTTTGTGTAAACATTGAATCTGGAACAAACCAAACTGCTAATGCTACAAATCCTGCCAGTATATAGTTGCTATATACTGTCGGGCCAACTCTAGGACACATTTGATATGATCTTGTGGGCCAAATATAATTACACTCTGGGCCAGATTTGGCCCCCGACCCTGAGTTTGACACGTTTGATCTACTGTTAAATGCAAAGGCGAACTTAGCTGTTGTTGTAGCTTTATGTATTATGACAAATTAAGCTGTGGCTAATTGTTCTTCCACATCTAATAAATGTAAAAACGTGTATGTTCTTCCACATCTAATAAATGTAAAAGCATGTAACTTCAAAAACTAATGGGGTTTTTTTCCGGTTTTTTGCAGAATCTTTATTTACACTCATCGCAGAATGGCCATATCTGCTGACGACGTGACTCTTGAGGACATTCTACCCATCTCCCTCGACTTTGCCGTTGTTGAAGGTGAGGTGTCGTCATGTTTTACACCTAACTGAAAAGATTTTCTGGTGACTGTGGCTTTGAATTCTGACATACTTTAATTCTCACTTTTTTTCCAGTTTCCTCCCCAGAGGAACTGGCGGTCGTTGGTATGTTACTTCAGCATCCTACACACCCTCACATGTTTCATGACGAATGACTGACCGCATTAAACTTTTTGTTTCTTTGTCTGATTGTAGGAGCTGATACCAGAGTCAGACTGAGTTTCCTCGAAGAGGCGCTGGAGCTCAGACTTCCTTTCGGGTCTCACTCGCGGCTCTTTCTCAGCGAAGTGATCAGAGCGTGGAGTGGTACGTCAGCCGCAGACACTGGTACACACCGGGGTTTTCAACCGACGACCGCAGTGTTTAGAGTGAAAACTATAACTGACATTCATGGCACCAGGCGCAGGAAGTTGTAGAGGAAATGTAAAGCACACATTTGTTTAGTCAAAACCTGCTCAGCCTGTCTGCAGGTGTCACTGTGTCATCCACTATAAAAGTCAATATTATTTTTATTATTGTTTTCATAAGGTGATATTTTGGCATGGCGGTACTACAGAACAACACCAACACACACGTACTCAGAAGTATGTGTAGTATTCTGTGAGTACTTTGGTTTGACCAGTGACTGACAGACAGACACAGAAGGAAGAAAGACAGTCAGGTGACACACACACGCACACACACACACAGAGCAGGAAAGGGGTGGAGTTCAGTGTGTGTGCTCTTCTCCTGCAGTCGGACTTGACAGATGGACTAAAAAAGCCACTTTTAACACTTACACGTTACTTTTCACTTCTTTTCCTGAGCTGTACGTCCTTTTTTGGGCAGATTATGATTTGACAGACAGCTGTTTGTTGTTGTTAGGAATTTAACGCCCGCCGCAGGCTCTTCCACATTGTGCTCTGGAATCTCCGAATTACAATGGAGGAAGAAGACACTTGTGTGTCGCGTGTACGTGTTTTTCTTTTTTTATTTCCATGGATGAGCTGTAGTAACTTTTCAACTGCGGAAAAACACCTGTGATGGAGGGACTAGGGGATCAGAAACCAGCTTATGGTAGAAATAAGCATTTGAGGAATGGCAAAGGTGAGAACAGCGGTGCGATATTCTGACATGTGATCTTTTAATGCAGTCTCGTAGGTTGACAGGACGGAGGATCAGTCATCGTGCCGCTGCTTTGAGTGGTTGAAAAAAAAAACCCTTCTTTATTCCTTTCCTGTTTCCTGACTTTTACTCTCTCTGTTTGTCTTCCTTCAGATGTTTGCAAGTCTCCCTCAGAGGTCCCCAACTTTGAGTGGATCAATAAGTATCAGAAAGGTCCTAAAGGTGTTGCCAAACAGGCCCTAGCACCGCTCACCACAACACTTACCAAACTCAACCAGCACCGGAAAGCAGGTTTGTTACTTAATTAGTTTTTGTTTGTTTTGTTAGACATCAAACATTTGCATCCCATTTAGACCTATTGGTTTATGCAGTTGGTGTACGTTAGGTTACCATGGGAACGGGAACCATATCTCTGTTGCATCTTTTTCTTATTTGTTTTTTTTTTAATATAGTAAACCGTGGACATGCCAGGGACATACAGTATCTGTCCTGTTGCAAATAACTCTTAATAAAGACACTAAACTTTTTTATCCTCAAGAAAGAGAACTGAACAAACATAACATAGAACAGAATAAGTCATTTGCAAAGTAAGTAATTTGCAATTCAAACTTTAAAAAAATAATAAAAATAAATAAATAATAATAATAATTTAAAATAAATTAGTGGTAAAAATGTAGAACCGAGAGCGTTTGGTGTCTTACACCCCGGGTTGAGAAACATTAATGTATTTCAGTTGTAGTTTAAGTTTTATGAGATTATAGTCCGGTGTTGCCCGGACTAATATGGCGTAGAGTTTGACGTACTTCTGATCACGGGCCAATCAGATGATGATTTGTGTCTATGGGGGCCCATATGTATATACATACAACTACGATAACAGAATACCTCACCGGTGTATCTCGGGTGACAGCTGACGACAGCAGCCTGCTGTGGGTTCCTCTGCGGTCGGATTCACGGAGTGAAGCTCCTCCTCCCTCTCAGTTAGCATGGGCAGGTCTCACACGGTGGACGTTGCTCCCGTGTACAGAATGATTAGGAGCGGTGCGGGGAGATGTCTAAAGTGACTAAAGACTCTGGTATGAAAACTATTTCCACTTGGGTTTTTTTTCCTCTGCTTGAATCTGCATGCCACTATATTCGGGCTCATTATTATAGCCAGTATTTCCCGTTTAACTAGCTAGCTTGTTAGCTACTATGTGTACATACAGTCTATGGTTGGCACTGCTATGGTAGCACGGTTTGATTGAAGGCTAACTTTAGCCAGGTTAGCAACAGGACCAGATTTGTTTACAGAGAAAATTGAAGTAGAAAAGCGATGAGTGTTTTTGTTGTTGTTATTTTAAATTATTTTTACGGTAATATTGTTTTATGGAGTTTTCGGTGAGAGCAAATATATATATGTGTATATATATATATGTATATATATAGATAGGTCTTGTAATGTCAGCAAATTTCAGACATGGTTCTGCTCTTGAATAATGCCTGTGATTTAAATAATTGGTCTCTGGGAGACAGTCGAAATGACACACCCGTGTCGGTGGTAAACGTAGCAGTGTGTCTTGGTATGTCACACACTTTTGTCACGTATTTATTGTGACACCAACAACGGTCGGTTTCCACAGAAATACTCTCAAGTAGCTGCTCCCTCTTTTGGCTCACTTAGCATGTTAGCTTCAGTTACCTGTAGAGGGGAGGATGCACGCTGTGCATGTCTGTGACTGTTAAACTATTAAAAAAAAAAAAAATTTAAAGCTCTCCATTGCATACAAGGATGAGTAGAGAAAATGTAGCTTTCATTTTTTGTGTTTTTGTCGGTGATCTTTAAGGCCGGCAGTGACTTTGTACTTTGTGCAGACTCTCACCCTGTTCCAGTCTACGTATTGATGTCTGTGTCACTACTGCTGACTTTATCATTAACCACAGATAAGGAGGAGTACAGGGTGTGAAATTACCGTGCAGTCTTAACGCAACTTCCTACTGGTGCTAAGAGTTTGTCAAACCCATAAGCCCGGTGGAGATCACTCAACTACAGTAAAACCTACCCTTTAGGAATGCAGGGCACGTGTAAGAACTACTCTAATGTTGGATTAGAAATCTTTAACAGGATCAGGGCTTTGTTGTGGTGCTGGTTACTATAAAAACAAAAGGATGGGGGGTAGAGGAGAGAGAAAACCAACAGTTCTTGATGAGGGTTGGTGTTGGGGGTTTATCCTCAGTCAGTGGTCAACTTTTACTGCACACTGGTAAAAGGATCATTACATTTTCAAAACAAAACATTTAACAAAACTTTTAGTCTTTTTTTTCTGTTTGTATCAGAGTCTGAATGACCTTTGACCTGTTTTTTTGAAACATTGATTCAGATTATCTTTGAATGAAAAAAGTAAGGAGATTTGACTGGATTCTTTTTGAATGAAGTACATTAGTAAAACTGATGTACATTTTTACCCTGTACCTAAAAATTTAACTTAAAAAAAAAAAGTAAAGTTTTGCTATCTTGCATGACAATTGGGTTAAAATCAACCACCCTCAGTTTTGACTTGGGAGAAGTGGCGTAGATTCTCGTTAAAAAGCCAAGTACTAACAGGGTAAAAGTCCTAACGTCTCATCTCATCTATAAGTGTAAACATGCTGGTTGTTAATGGTCCATTTCATTAGTTCTGCTAAAAGTGTGAAACTAAACTGCCTCTTTACTGCAGCCTGTGTCTGGCTCTGAAAGTTTATTTTACAAATTATCATACATCAATATTAAATTTGCACGCCGCTCATCAACATGTGTGCAAAGACTGTTTTTAATACTTAAATGTCTTGATATTCAGAGCTGCTCTTAATGCCTGAGGCTCAGTTCTGGGTTGTGGTCCAGGAAGTGTTCATTTAGTTCACCATAAAAACAACAATATATTGTATTTGGTTATAGGAACGGTTGTGTTTGCGTTATTGATAGTTGTACGCTACGTTTAAAAAAACAGTTTCCTGTGACTATGTGCACATACGAGGCCTTTCTTTCTTAAAAAAATGTTGAACAATATTGACCAAAGTTGCATCAGATTAACTTAAAGTTGCCTTCACGTAATTGGCTGAATATCTGTTTATCTGTTAATACTAGTGAATGTTTGCCCGTTTGTGTTTTTTTTTTTTTTGTCGACACAGAGAGCGTACAGTAGCTACCTACCCTGACCTGCAGGTGGTGCAAAGTAGGAAACAAAGCTCTGTTTTCATGGTTCAGACCTGCAGGTGGTGCAAAGTAGGAAACGATGCTCTGTTTTCGTTGTTCTGTTGCGTTGGTAATGCATTGTCGTTTTATATCAATTAAAACTCTTCTATTCGAATTCAGAAAATTTCACTTGCAACTCTAGCTCGTCAGGATTTCCGGCCTCATTGGATCCCATTCGATGCATTACATTACTGCCACCTGCTGGCTGTATTGGTCCCTTCCAAATATTTACAAACTGATTGGAAAAACAGGCTAAGACAGAGGGTTGGGGGGGGGGATTTATCTTTACCCTAATGTCAGTATAAGTTAAAAAGACAGACCAACTTGAAGTTAAAAGTTCTGCTCAGCAAACAGAGATAAGTTTCTTTCCTGCCAAGCTGCAGGAAATGGGGGGGGGAGGGTGGTGTTACCACCCGCCTTTTTCACAAGCCACTTGTGATGCACTCACTGTTTCCATCTGAATTCACCCTCCTCTGTCACTGAACCACAGTCACCGTCTGAGCTGCAGCCTGTGTTTTTTTATGTAAATGTCAGATGAATAAAAATAAAACGTTGTTCAGTGGAATTCAAAGTGTTGACCAATAACTCTCTCTCATCTCTGAGGAAACTGCACAGCTCATGAATCGGTGACTTCAGTTTTTTTTTTTTTTCAAAGGCTTTTTAGTTCACATAAGAACAGACTTTAGTTTGCTGTTTGGGAGCAGTTTCAGGACATTCCTGTTTTGTTTTTATTAATTATTTGAACTCGTTAAATTTAGAGCATATAATATTAACGCCCTTGTTAAACTACCAGAATTTAAATATGTTTTTATTAACTAATATCGCTGCTGCGCTGCTCGTCGTCTCCGCTCTGCATTTATTTCTGTTCACATTTGTCTTTAGGTTGTTTTTGGTTTTTTTTATTCTGCACAACAACATCTAGAACATCTAGAACCATGTTTTACAGACTTCATTAGAGAAGTTAGTTGCAGGCTACGAATACCAGAGGCAGCATCTCGGGTAATGTGGTTTGAAGTCACTTCCATGTTGCTGCCAAACACGTTGGCAGACAGAGCCGCTCGTCAGTTCTGCGGGTTTTGTTGGT